TTCATGAAATCATGGCGAGAATTACTCAATTATCTATGAAGGATGATGGGAAAATATATAGTATTTTATTCATTAACGACAGTGGACGAAAATACGATTAATATACTAACAGTTAAACTATACTTCTTAACGTATGATTGCCATCAACTGAAATGATAATATTCGAGTAATGTTTCTTTCCTTCTGTGTTTCTACCACTTACTATAATCAAAGTGATATATATTGAAGAAAAAAAAACGAGGCAACATAATGAAAGTAGTTAGAAAATAGTTAAAGTAATCAACGTAGTTTCTAAATAAAAATCTTTCTTTCTATATGATTCATTTAATTCATTAGTTGAAAAACAAATGAGATTTATCTAATTGATAATTATAGACTAAATCCCAATAAAGATGTAAGTACAGCTGTTCTTTATGTGAAAGAGACAGGATCTTTGCAGTATCCCTATTGTTAATATTATTTGTTAACAGGTATTTATATTTAATTAGTTGTTTATTAAAAAAATGTATGATAATCAATAGTAAACAGATTCGACATTGATCACTTATCTCTAATGATCATAATAGTATTTGATTATAAATTCCTTTATTAAATGAATTAAGAATAAAGTTTACCTAAGAACTTAACGTATTGAATTACTCAGCAAACAAATGTTATTGTCATTCGAGATCAATATAATTACTCTTTTTTGAAAATAATATCTAACAATATAACTATGTTAGACCGTCTGTACAGCTTAGAAAAAATTGTTTGTTAATAAACAAAAAAACATAGGTTAATCTTTTTTTTCTGAGGAAAACTATTTCTCAATTGGTTGAGATGATATTTTTTCATTTATGAATCAGCAACACTGGAAAATGATTTCATCTTTTGCCTCCTTAGAAACATTTTTATTTTTTCAAGAAAAACTAATTTTTAGAAAGTAATTTCCGTTATTATAATTAATGTTTCCTTCTTGACTTAAAATTGAAGATGAAAATCTTCTCGATTATTATTTTAACTGAAAACATTAAATTTTTGTTAAATAATCATTTCAATCGAATTTATATATATGTTAATCATTGAATAAAAGAAACAATGATTTCCAGTGAGTAAACAAACACGTAGTTACTTCTTAAATAAAATACTTTTTTTTAATTTTCTTAAAACATTTTTTCTTTAAGAAAAAAAATATTTTAAAAATGAAATACTGACATTTTTTTTTATTTACTAACAAGTATAAAACTACAAGAATCATTTCTATCATTAGCGTAAAGTAAGTAGATTTCAAATAATTATTGATAAGTTTCAATTTATTAAGTAAGATCGTCTTGTTTCTTTATGAGAAGAAGTTGAATTGTAATTTTCATTGTTTTTATCTTAAGAAAAATTTCGATGGAAGAACTATCAATTCCAGAAGATCACCTTCAAAAGTAATTATACTATTAATTTTAATTAATATTTCAATTTAAAAGTATCTTTTAAAGAGAAAATAATTTATCAACAAAATGTCGATTTCTTGTTTGGAGTTGTGTTTTAATTCAAATATCATTTATTATTAGTGTTATTACAGTAATTATATTCATTCGTTATCAGTCATCATTTTCATCTATCAATATAAAATATGACATTGGTAATAAATAATTCTCTTTAAATATTAAAGTTAGATGTAGAGTACTTTCACTTTATTCGATATTGATTTGTAATTTAAGTTTCAGTTCAAATCAATAAATCAGATTTTTCCAAAAAAATTTTAGAGTTAAAAGCAGTGAGCTTCACGCGTACACTCCACGTGTTTGCAGGCGGCTTTTCCATCCATATACTTAATCCGAGAGTTTTCGATTAATGTTTTACAATATGTAATAGGCATCTTTGTAAAAAGTCATCCTCGAACAAGTATTGGCCTATCTCAACACCCGGAAGTACTATTCCCAAAACAGAACACAATTGCTCTGTTCTCGGAATACTACTTCCGGGTTGCGATTAATATTGTTCTGTTCTCGGAATACTACTTCCGGGTTCTGACTAATATTGTTCTGTTCTCGGAATACTACTTCCGGGTTGTGAGCAATATTGTTCTGTTCTGGGAATACTGCTTCTGAGTAATATTGTTCAGTTATGGGAAACAATTTCCTGATCGCTACTACTTAATTAAGTACTGATCGCAATTAGAATTGAAGATGTCAGATTGTCTATTTTTAAAATTTCGAAAGGATTGGACGAACAGCTAGGCACCTTCTCATAGACACAGAATAGTGCTCGGTAAAATGTGGGCGATGGGATCGCAAAAACGACAATTTGAAGTTAGCACCTCGCGGAGTTTACTTTTCTTCACTAAATTTTTCTAATCAAATGAAGATCTTTGTGCGATTAAAAGGAGAAAAACAAAATGTAAATAACTTAAAAACTATTTGCAGGAACGACGAGCGTTTTGAAAAAGACCACACGAGCAACTCGAATGAAAACAACTTCAACTGCAGGTAATAATAAAATAGTATAATATGTATATGTAAATAAATTTATTTATTTAGTAACAACATCAATTTTAAGTGATACTTCGACCATAAATTCTTCATGTAAATCAATAGTTATTTTTGTTTTCAAAAACTACAATGATCTTTTCTAGATATTCCATGTTATCCATTAAAATTTTCAAATTATACAAATTGTTCAACTGGAAATAACCCTTGGTCAATAAGCAATGGTTATTTAGATGAAGATTCTTTTCTTGATATTGTTGTTGTTAATAGAGATGATGCAACTATGAGTATATTCTATGGTTTCGGAAATGGAGAATTTCGAAATCAAACATTATATTCGACGACTTTAGGTTGTACTTATGTTGTTATTAGAGATATGAATAATGATAATAGATCAGATATTATTTTAACTTATACTTTATTAAATGAAATTGCCATTTTAATCAATAATGGCAATCAAAATTTTAATTCACCAATAACTTATCCAGTTGAAAATTCTCCATATTGGCTTGACATTTCAGATTTTAATAAAAATAATTTATTAGATGTTGCTGTTGTCAATGATGAAGATGCGTCTGTTACTATTTTATATGATTATTATAATTTATCATTCAATTATTCTAAAACATATCCAGCCGGAAATGATGTTACAGCTGTATCTATTGCAGATTTTAATAATGATTTGTATCCTGATTTTGTTACTACTGATTTTAGTGATAATACAATTAGTATTAATATGAATTCGAAAAATGGAATGTTTAAAAATAGAAAAACGTATTTCACAGGTATTGGACCATGGGGTCTAGCCATTGCTGATCTAAATAATGATAATTTTATAGATATTGTTAATACTAATGACTTATCATTTACATTAAGTGTTTTATTTAATGATGGGTATGGAAATTTTAATAGACGAGATACATATTATATTGGTGGAACTCCAAGATCAGTTACATTAGCTGATTTAAATAATGATACATTCATTGATATTATTACTGTAAATTGGGATGATCAATATATTTATATTTTTTTAAATAAACAAAATGGAATATTTCAAGCATATCAAAGATTTACCACCGAATTGTATGGTTATGCTGTTACAACTGGCGATTTTAATCAAGATGGAAAAATAGATATTGCTCTTATTACTTATGAATCTACTTTGAATGTTCTTTTAAATCAATGTTAAAAACATTTCATAGACTACTTTTATTATGGACAAATATTTATTCTAAAAACAATATTCTTTTTTTTCCTTTATATCAAATAATAAATACATATTTAATTATAAATTTCAATATTTCAAATAAATTTGTCACTTTATTCTGTTAACATAGGAGACAAGGGTGGGTGTGAGTGGTATTTATCTCATCTACACTTTCACAGTCACACCCACACCGTCAAGAAAATGGTATATAAGTATAGACCTTCGTTTTCTTTTGAATAACAGAATCTATTTGATGAAAATCGTACGAAACTAATTATATGCATCTAATAATATCTAATCAATTGAAAGAACTTTTTCATTGTTATACTATTCTTAACAACTTCAAATATGAAGTTATCTAGATTTAATTTAATATTTGTTGTTTTCAAATTCAAGTTATTCACTAGAGAAAATAAGATGCAACAATTATATCTATTCTTAGCAGCAATGAATTTTGATATTTAACTTGTTCTATCTTTCCTTTCTTTTTTTATAAACAGTAGATCTGTGGCAAGCGTTATAGAGTGGCGATAGTTATTTTGTAAATCATCTTTTCTTCATTAGGGCAAATATTTAATGATTTATTTTTTTAATAAAACAACCCCTCATCAATGTTTTTTCGTTACAGAAATATTTATTAAAAAAACTTTGAGCAGATATATCTCAAATTTATTACTTATTTTGTTTATTATAAAGTTTCTAAAAATTATGTTCATATCGAATAATTTTCTTTTTATAGAAATTCTATAAACTACATTATTTGTCATTAATCATATATTATTTTTTTATAACAATATAATTTAGTTTCATTAGTGAATGTAAGCGAAGTAAAATCTAATTTATCTACATCTATTACGTCGAAGATTGATAAGAATGAGTAAGAGTATTTAAATGTGTGAGAGTATGAATAGGAGAGATAGAAGATTGTCTTATGCCTCTATTAACGAAACTCATCTATTCGCACCCACGCTAAGTTCATCTCTTTTTGTTTTATACTAATATCTATTGTGAGTCTTTGAAAAGAATAAATGATGAGCTAGCTAACACAACAAACGAACGCGCAAAGATAGAATTGCGAAGTTTTATTAAAATATAATAGTTCTGATAGCTTCTTCGTAACTATCTTATTTGTAATCGTGTAAATTTACTTTTTACAATATAAGAAAGAAAAAAAAGAGTCTACGAAATCTCAGCCATGCGACATGTGATAATACATAAAATCTCTCTAACTATATGAGAACTGAAGTCATATATTTTGCTTACCATTTTCTTATCAGAGAGCAAAGAAGATATGACGTTTTAACAATTACATTCACTCGATTCACAAGCGAAAAATGGATGAGACAGGTAACACAACAAATAACGAGATAGAAGCTGTAAACAATGTTCCAGTAACACAAAGCATGCCTCCACCAAGTTTCAGTTCCGCGAATCCAGTGGTCGTTAGTGTACAGAATGCGCCTCCATCAAATTTCAGTTTCGCGAATCCAGTGGCCATCAGTGTACAGAATGAGCCACCACCACCAGCATACACATCTTACGGGCAGTTCGTACCTCCTCCAGCTGGTTATCCTCAAGCTGGACATCCTCAAATGGGTTATTCTCAAGCTGGACATCCTCAAGCTGGCTATCCTCAACCTGGATATCCTCCAGTTGGTTATCCTCAAGCTGGTTATCCTAAAGTGAATCAAGCACAGCCGCAGCGAATGCCTAATAGTATGGTGTTTGCACCCAATCAAGGTGCTAACGTAAGTGATTTCATGGCATGGTCAATTTTTAACTGTCTGTGTTGTTTATGGCCTTTAGGCCTTGTTGCCATATTTCTCTCAAGTATGGTAATGGAAAAGAAGAAAAGTAACAATGTACAAGGCGCTAAGTCTCTGTCAACGGCAACTGGCATAGTGAATGGTATTGCTACCGTCGCTGGTATTGGTCTCAATATCTTTCTCATCATGTACTACACTCAGATGCGTTGAGACAGCGTATATTAAAGACATTTTCGCTACCATATATTTATTCAAAGCAATATATTATTCATCTATCTATTAATGTGATTTTTTATTTTTGTTAAAAAGAAATAAATATTATTTTAATAAGAAAATGTTTCGAGATGTAAAAATTGCTGTTAGATAAGTCTACATGAACAGTGAAAGAAATATTATTCATCAGGGCATCTGAAGAAATGTATTTTGCTTATGAATTAATCATGAAATTCGATCGATAATTTCTGACCATGGGTTAAAAGATAAAAAATGGTGCAAAGCTTTTAAACTTTAAAAGGATAAAGGCACACAGATTTGTTGCTCAGTTCATCATGCACACACGTCTAAAATATCTTTTATGAAATATGTCATCAGTAAATAAAATATCATTTCAATGAAGTTGAATATATTTTTTCTCAACAGATTATAGTAGATGGATGATTAACTTTATATCTACACTTCTTCACATTCATCCACACTCATTTGAGACGAAAACAACAATGACAAGATCAAACATGCGATTAAACTAGAATATAGTTCTTTCACACTATGATTTGTAGGAAAGAAGAATAATAGAGAGACGCTAGCATAATTTTATCGAAAAAAACCGAAAAAGGTTTCCTTTCACAGACGTTAACTTATCGAACATATTCAAATAAAATGTATTGCAATTTTTTCTAACAAGAAAAACTATGAACTATAAGTTTTACGAATTATCACATAGGAAATAATGATTTTCTAATTGTAAATTGTAACTTATTGTATTTTGATGTTTGGCTATCATCTCGCAAAACTTATTTTTCTATTAATCTTAATGGTAATTTCGAGTATTATAAACGATTAATTAGCTGCAAAATATCGGATTGTTTTCTATCACTTTTTACACTCATCCAAATAAAGTCAATTATATTTTTTTCCATCAGTGCATCTATAAAAACAAAATCATCCTTAGAATCCACTAAATATGTCTACTTTATGGAAAAAAAACCTTGAAAAAGTTTCTTTTTTTTGTGTTTGTCAACTATTTCATTCAAACTGATGGTACTCAATTCTGCAGCATTTTTGTTGGTTGAATTAGTGTTGCAATTTAACTATGACGATGATGATTCAATGTCAAGAACAGAAAAGAAATTGATCGTGGCATAAACATAAATTCTCCATTTGCATCGTTTATGAATACACAAAAAGAAACAATGATTCATTAAGTTTCTATTACAACTTTAAACTAAAATTTTTCATCAAAACGTTTCTTATTTTAGATTGCTACATAAGCGAAAGCAGATATACTACTGAGTATTTTATGAACATATTGGTCTGCAGATTCGTGGGTATACAATCGGTGTTTCTTTCCGCTAATTATAATGTGCTTTTTTCATCGTGACAAATCCTGTCAATGTAAGAAATCACGATCAAATAGAAGATTCGTGAGTTTAGCATTACCTAAATGTTGTCGATCAGAAAAACAAGACTTTGTATTTTACTCTGGCTTTTGGACTAGTCAATATTATCGATCTAATAACCAGTATGGTCCTTATCGTTGTTCTCTGACATTTCAGTCACGATCGATGACAGTCATTGGATCTGGTATAGATGATATGGGTGATTTTATTATTAATGGTTTCTATTCATATATAACTAACCGAATTGCTTTTACGAAAACATATCAATCAGAAAATACGATTGAACCAATGAGTGCTAATCATAAAATAGTAGTTCAACTAATTTGGAATACTCAAGAAAAAAGATTTCAAGGCAAATGGTATGATGATCGAGTGTCTGACAATGGCAAATTTGACCTAGTATACGATGGCGTGTAAAATCAATCACCATCTTGAGGGTGTGGGTGAAAGTTAGAGTGAAATACAATACCCACACTCATCCTAATAGATTTACTAAATACATAAAAATCACCTTCAAATCCTTGAGATACTTTCTAATTCGTATCATTTTTTTTCATCTTGTCTATATTCGTTCTTATCTAGTCTTATTTTATCTTAAGAATTGCACAACAACGGTGTAATTTCTTTTTAAAAAACAGTATTTAAGACAAACAAATTTTGTTCTAACTTTACTAAGAAAAATAAATGTCTTCATCAACACCACTATTATTTCAACTGGCTCATGGTAATAGACATCCCGATGATCGTTTTGATTATATTGTAAAACATTACTTTCTATATGCACAGTCACTTCATCACGCACATATCTATGTCACATTATATGGTAATCGTATTGCACCAGATTTTTATGACGATGATGGCGAAGTAGGCGATGAAGAATATCCATCGTATACTAATGAAAGTATGCGACAACGAATTCTTGAAGAATATAAACAACGCTCAGTTGAAGATTATGAACAAAGCAATGAGGAATGCTCATGTGGTGAACATTATTGGCATTCAATCAAAAATATTGATACAAAGAAATATGATGGTAGTATTATTGAAGTGAATGATGGAAGTCAACTATTTAAATTATCAATTCAATTCAATTATCCTTGTATTCATTTACAAGAACAAGCTGATGAATTTCAATACAATATGTATCAATATGAACAGAATACATTTATATATCAATTGAGAGCAACAAGCCAAGATGATATATTTCATTATTTATTCCAACATTTAGAACAATTTAATTTAACTACAGAAATGTTAATAACTCAATTTAGTAAAGCTTCATTGGATAGTACAAAGACATGGAATGAATTTAGTTCATTATGTGAAGAATCGATTAAATGCCAGAATGATTGTGAAGTTGTAAAACATGAAAAGATTGTATTTAAATTGAATACGATGGATGAACCAATTGTTACACATAATTGCGATATATAATTTACTTATTTATCGAAGACTTAGACAATACGTATATTTATTTCATATTTTCTATTTTTTATTGAAGATCATTTTTAGTTTACGTTTTACTTTGAAATACGAGAGTGTCAAATATATCACTTTCAATAACAATATTAAATTTTTCAAGCTATAGATCAAGATAAAAACTTATCATTGTCTGAATTATCTTTGGGTGTGTGTGGTTGTGGGTATATAAGTCACTCTTGTTTCATACTACGCAGACACACCCATACCCACACTCACACCCACACCCTCAACTTTATCTTATTCACTGATCAAATTTTCTTTTTTTACAGTTACAAAGTTGATGTTATTACTGCTACTTTATCCAATAAACTGATCAATTTCATATTATCAGCTGGTAGTCTCAATACTATATATTTATTCTTTGAACTGATAATTTACGTTTTATTTTACTGATCATTTCATCTTTTTAATTAATCAAATATTTTGTTGCGCATTTGTATTATTTTTAGTTGCTATCAGTGGGGTTATTGTTAGTATCTGTACTTTTTCTGATGCTATTGTTGATGTTCGTTCTAATAACTTTGTTGTTATATTACTCGCTGCAACTGTTTCTGTTGATAATGTCTTAATTTGTTCGATCACTGTAGTTATTTTTCTGATCGGCAACACTGTTGTAGTTTCAATTGATTTCTCTGTTGCTCTATCCACAGTTGTAAGCTTACTTATATCTGGAATTGATTTAGTTGTTGTTGTTACTTGCTTAGATTCTTCTGTTTCTTTCGGTGTTATTATTAATTCCGTTGCTGGTAGTGTTGTTATCAACATTTTCTGTATTTTAGTAGTTGTTGATGTTGTTGTCTTTGTTTTTTTAAATCTCGTAGTTCGTATATTTTGTTTTTTAGATACTTTGGTTGATCCTAATTCGTATCTTACAGAATGAGTTGTTGACGTTGGATACAATATCGTCCATGTTGGCCATAATCTTACCCATACTTTATTTGGTTGCGACGCTGTTGTTGTACTAGTTGAGCGCTTAGTTGTATATCTCCATGTACTTCCTGATGTTTTTGTTGTTTTGCTTCTTGGTATGGTAATTTTTGTTTTTCTGGTAGGTGCTGTTGTTATTTTCCTTCTTGGTATAGTAATCTTTGTTTTTCTGGTAGGTACTGTTGTTGTTTTGTATCCTGTCTTTCTTGATGTTGTCGTAGATCTATATCTTACTGTTCTTCGTGTATTTGTAGGACTATATCTTGTTGTCCACCATACTGTTGTTGGCCAATAATTCATCGTTCTCCATGATGATGTTGGTATGTATCTTGTAGGCAATCGCGTTGTTATTCTACGTGTAGTAGTTGGATATGTTCTTCTAGGAGTAGATCTCAATCCATATAGTGCTTGAATACCAGCACGATCCTAAAATTCATTGTATATGAAGTCATCTGTTTATATATAAATAAAACTTGGATCATTTATTGTGTTAAATACATAGTTGATTTAGAGAGTTCTTCGATAAAAAAGATGAAATTTTATATGTCCTGACTATCATTAACTAACTTACTATAAAATTATAGAGAATATTATTACTCACATCTCTTGGTAGAAGCTGTTCTGGTTGGAAAAGTTGATATCGTTCAAACATTATCGATGATGGATCATTGGAATCACCAAGTCCAAGTGCATGACCTATTACATGAGTCGCTACAAGATGTAAATTAAAGCCAGTTGTGCTATAACTAAACAGAAAATAAACTTTGTATTTTGCGTCATAGTTATGATACTTACTCATCTGTCCATGGTTCTTCTGCTTCAAAACGAATTATTCCTGAAGGAGGAAAATATGAATATGCTAAAATTCCTCCTGGTCCGTCGAAACGACGAATATCATCATGAAATCTATGGATGAAAGCCAATTCAAAATCAGCTTCTTCATATTGTGGTACTTCTCTAAAAGTTAATGGTGCATATCTAGCCCAATCATTAAATGCGTCTTGAATTTGTGCACGAGTTCTACTTGTACCATATGAGGGATGATATCCATCGAGCAATTTCCATGTAAGAGATTTTTTTCCTAAGCAATATTGATAAAAAAGATTTATAATCTCAAAATATAAAAAAATAAACTTACCATTGAGTTTCAAATGAATACATAAGAGGACTATCTCGTACTCCACATCGAGGAATTTTTGTCGTTGCTTCTATTTCTTTATCAGATTTTCTGGTAGCTGATGATTTCAGTTTAATTTAAGACTTTTTTAAAATGAATTGTGTATTAAATAGATAATTTATCATTGTTTTATTTCCATTATTTGATAAAGATTGGTTTCGACATAAATTGTAGTAAGCTGTATTGAAGTGTGTAGAAGTATCTAACTTCGATTTAGCAACAGATATTTCGAAGTGTTTTGTCTTCATGTTAGCCATTGAATTTGCTAATATATTATGGGAACTATTTAGAGACAAAATGAATATAATAGATATAAACAATAAAAATAATCCCATGGTTTATAATAAATAGAACGAATTGAAGTGCTTATTCTTGTTCATCGATTAAATAGAACAAAAATGACCTTTCACTTCCTTTTTTTTCCTCGATTCCATCCTCGATAATTGTATAGTGAGTTATAATGAAACATATTCATGATAAGAACGGAGAACCTATTAAATGATATCTGATATGATAAGAATGATGAATAGATTCTTTATTATGAGAAAGAAAAACAACTTCTATCAAATATATTTTATTTTGTTTGGATACTTTTGAAAAATAATTCAATATCCATTATTTAGAAAATTAAAAGTTATTTCTGTAAAAGATAAAATAATTGAGAGTGCGTGCAATTGGAATGGATTTAGCACTCACCCACACCCACACCCTCGCCCTCACACCCACCCCTCAAGAGTAGAACTAGAAGTATAGTGAAGAGTAGGTGCATGTAGATCCAACTTCTCAATTTATGTATTATACTCGCTTCCAATTGAAAAAAAAGTTGCTATTTGAATTTGACTACATTTTTCCAATTTAAATATAATCCTTGTCAAAGTGAAAATGTTTTCGACGATATTGCAATGCATCTTTATTTTAAATAAGATAGAAACTCTGTTGTCAGTTAAGATATATAAAGTCAATAAATGAGTATATTAGGAAAAAATTATCACATGACACATATCGAATAGTGTTTCACACTATTGCTTCTTCAAGAGACAAACAAAACGAGTTAAAAGTATATATAGAGAAAAAAGTAAAGGGATCGAATGTGAATTGTTTGGTTATGGTGTTACTGGTGCCAAAAGTGGAGTACAAGCAATCATACATGATCCTTGTGCTAGACCACAAGTAAGAACAGCTCCTACACCAAAAATAACACCAGCTGACCCGTAACAAGACATAGCACCCTTGTTACAAGCCGTTTGACAAGCAGCATATGTTAATGGGCCGCCAGATACAGAATGTGATAATATGAATAAAAAAATCAATAGAATCTTCATTTGATTTGCGAATTGCATCGTATTCTAAAACGGACAAGTAAATGTATAATTGTTATTACCATACTAAAGAATATATTAAAATTGCGGGATCTTATACGACTTACAGAGTGACGTTTGTTTGTATGATGATAGTTGATTTAAAATAACTTTTCACTGTTAAGAACTGTAAAGAATACATTTATATATATATATAGCAGCAGTCTGTAACTGGGAAAAAACCCACCGAAGGAAAAAAAAGAGAAAGAAAATAAAAACTGTAAATGCATCCTAAATAATATGCAACGAGAAAAGAAAGAAACAGAAAACGATTGAAGTTTTTCTTTGCATGTTCTTCATAGAGATGGTAAATGGAATAATAGCACACTCTTTCATCCACTTCTATGCTTTTAAATAAGAAAAATAAAAGAGAAAGATGGTCTGGACTATTTGAAATGACAATAGAATGAAAAATATACATGCAATGGCAAGTTGTAAATTAATACTAATTTTGAAATGCACCTGTCAAAATTGTTTAAAACGTCAAATTTTCAGTTTAGAAATTTTTTGATAATTTCTATGAAACAATGTATTTATTTGGAGGATGTGAGTGTTGAATGCATCGAATACGCACACTCACATTCACATCCTCAATGATGAACACTTTAACTGGAATCAACGAGAAATTTAGTTTATTCAAAAGTTCCACATTGCTATATTGTTTTCATACTGAATTGTTAAATTTTTAATAGAGATGATAATCAACAATTACTTTCGTTTATTAATAAATGTTATTGCACATAAACACTTGATAAATAATATGACTCAATAGAAGAGTTATTGATTTGTCAAGTCGAATAAGCAGAATAAAATGTTTAATTTAACTTATAGTATTTATTTTGTGTAAACACAGAATATGCTATTTGATTAAATCGATATGTCAAAAAAACAGGAATCTTTAAATCAGCGTAGAAAAAGAAAATTTATATAATATGCATAATGTTTGCATACGTAATTTTCAAGGAAATTTTTTAATACAAAATTATTTTTTATGAGAAGCCAAAAGTCGACGATACCAATTTTTACTTGTTTCATTAGCTTGTTTTGATAATACAGCATGTGGTGCTACACCAATGAAGCCGTGAAAACCACCAGACCATACATGTAGTTCGACAGTACCACCAGCTTGACTGATACGTTGAGCATAGTCGATATCTTCATCA